GGGGAAGGGGAAGTAGAAGAAGCAAGGTGCGTGCATACCCGTACCTGCTCCCTGACAGGAACGGAAACGTCACGGACAGCGAACATGCGCTGATAGACTGAAGTGAGCAGGGGCTGCCATGGCAGTCCCCGCGCTTGGCGTGGTTACAGGGCAGTTTCTCGCCACAGTGAGCACCAGTGAGAGTCAGCAAGCAGGAACAGTTCACAGTGATTTGACTTTCAGTGCTTTGTTTTTGTTTTTGTTTTTGTTTTGTTTTGTTTTTGTGGAACCGGGATTGAAGTCAGGCCCTTGTGCTTGCTATGTAAGCGCTTATTCTACTGAGCCATCTCCCTGGCCCCAGGCTTTCAGTGCTGAGCTCAGCCCCAAGGAGCTCTGTCACCTTTCCGAGCTGTAGTCTCTGTCTCTCCAACCAAATCTGACAAGGTCCACCTCACGGAGATCAGGAGACAGTGTGTGATGAAATCTTTTATGAAGTGATGGATTTTGATACTTTTTGATCTGCAGTTTGGGGACTGAACGTGTTACATTTCATCTCAGGTATGACAGGCAGAAAGTGATGCTTAAAGAAATCCACAACTGCCAGTACGTGGCCTGCTTGAATCCCACAGCGGGCAGCTTCACGGTCAGTCCCCGGCTGCAGGTATGTACACAGTACCGCTCCCTTCCCAGTAGCCCTCGGTGTAGTGCTCCACAGTTGTAGGTCTGGATTCTTGGTGCTTTTGAGTACAGAGTAAGCATTCAGATTTTTTAGAGCAGCTTTAGGTTCACAACAAAATGAGCAGAGCATAGTGCTCCCCCTCCTGTCTTCCTGCTCCCTTCATTTGACCTGCTACCATACTAACCTCTTGCATTAATTACAATTGATAAGGCAGTAGTGATACCATATTACTAGCCAAAGCCCAGAGCTTAACATTCTTGTGTTGTACCTTCTGTGGGTTTTGATAAACATAGAATGAACAGTATCCACCATTCTAATATCAGACTAGTTCAGTGCCCTAAAATCCCTATGTTCTGCATATGCATCCCTCTGAACATATGGCAGCTGATCTTTCTAAAAATACCGTCATTGACAATAAAATACACATTACTTACAGTGTATCATCTTAACCACTATAGGCGTATAAATCAGTGCTATTAGCGCTTTCATAATGTAAAGCCATCACCACCATTTATCTTCATCTTTTTATCTTATGAGACTCAACTATAGCCATTAAGCAGGAACTGCCCCGTGTAGTTCCTGACGGCCACTGTTCTACTTTCTGTCTCTGGTTGTGTCTCTGAGGACCTCATGCCCACTAAACTGTACAGTATTTTTTTGTGACTAGCTTATTTCACTTAGCATAGTGTGCCCAAGGTTCAAACACATTGTGACGTGTTGTGGACTTTCATCTTAACTCTGAATGTGATACTGTTTCATGGCTATGTACAGCGGTTAGGTTATGTATTCATCTGTGCCGACACTGGGTTACTTCTGCATTTTAGCTGATGTAAATACTGCTTTTGTGAACGTAGCTGTACGGATCTCTCTAGGAGACACTGTTCTCAATTTTTTTCAACATATGCCAAGAAGAGGGGTTACTAGATCTTATGGTACTTGTCTTTTAAATGTGAGGTGTAGTTATTCTGTTTCTCACATCACTTTTATTTCCACAACACTGCATAGGCGTTCCAATTAACGTCCTCACATCATCTCCAGCGTTGTTTCATTTTTAACTCACCTTGGCCATCTAATGGTGGAAATACTATCTAATTCGAGTTTTGACTTGTATTTCCCTAATAATTAGTGATGTTAAATATCTTTTTATGTGTGTTTATTGGCCATTTGATATCTTCTTTGGGGAAATATCTATAAAATGTTTTTTTTTCATTTTTGAATCATTTGTCACTTAAGTGTTTAGATTCTTTGTGTATTCTACTTATTAATTTGTTATATACTAATATCTTTACTTTTCCTAGGTCCACAACTGTTTTTCCAGAATATGTTATGGTTAGAATCCTAGAGCATGCTGCCTTTTCGAGCCCTTTTTTCACTGAGCAATTTTTATTTACAGTTCCTCCATATCTTTTCATGGCGTGATAGATCATTTCTTTTTATCACTGAATAATATTCACTGCATAAATGTACATCATTTATTTACTCACATATTGAAGCACAGATTGGTTGCTTTGAAGTTTTGGCAGTTACGTATAAAGCTTCTACAAATATTTGTGTGTGAGGTTTTGCGTGTGCAGATCAGTGCTTTAACATGACACCAGCCGTCACCGCATCCACACGGCGGCGGCAGGGCATGCGCGGCTGCTCCACACTCCTCTTAAGTTCGTGGGCAGGCGGTGAGCTTTGTGCTCTCCTGACCTGGGCGGGGCTCCCTGGAGAACGCCTGGGGAGTGACGATGTCAGCTATCCTAACAGGGTTTAGGATGGACTGGTGGGGCCAGTGTGCCTCTCTGCTCTGTAGGTCTCTCGACCATAGCAGGATTTCAAGGTCATGGAAAGCCAGAGGCTTAAGTTAGCAAGTTATGTGCTGCCTCTATTGGCTTCTGTCACTTCATCTCATCCCGTGAGCTCAAGCAAGTCACCTGGACTAGTCCAAGGTCAGAGAAGTGGGCAATGACAAATTGCACGGGAATGGGCCTGGTTCTGTGAGAACAGAAAACTCTGCCCCTTGTTTGCAATTTCCTGGTCTGAGTAAAGCCCTTATTTTATGCCAAGTTTTGTTTTTCTTTTCAGAGGCATTTCACAGTGTTCGCATTCAACTTTCCATCTTTGGATGCACTGCACACCATCTATGGCCAGGTCTTTAGCGTCCATGTCCAGCAAGGAGCCTTTGGTCCGTCAGTTCTCAGGAGCGGTCCCGCTCTGATCCAGGCAGCAGTTGCATTCCATCAAATGATGACACAGAACTTTGTACCCACAGCTGTCAAATTCCACTACATTTTTAATCTGAGAGACATATCAAACCTCTTCCAGGTACCTTGACTGTTCTATTACTCCTGGAGTACAGCAGTAATTACAGCAGTATTAATAGCATTGTATTTTATGCCCATAAGCTGCTTTTTGAAGTCAACATGGTGAGTTTATCATCCCTTTGTCATTGAGAACACTTGTTCCCCTTGGGTTGCCTAGTTTCTTAGGTTTTTTGTGCCATCGTACCAAAATACCTGTGGCTGGGTAACTCATTTGTAAAATTTATTTCTCACAGATTTGGGGGACTGAAAATTGCAAGGTCAACCACAGCACCAGCAGGCTTGATGTTTAGTGAGACCCTGGTGTGTGATTCCACAATGGTGCTTTGAGCCTTGTGTCCGCCCATGACAGAAGGGGTGGAAGGTCAAAAGGGTCAGCTTCTTGTTTCATGTCACTGTACAATTTAAGTGTCTCCTAAAGGCCTTGCCTTTTAATACTATCATGCTGGCAATTAAATTTCAATACATGAATTTGCAGAGAGTGACAATAATAGAAACAAAAGTAGAAATTTGGACTCCTTAGATTAAGAGTCCACTTTTACAGAGTGCCAAATAAGTAATTGATGTTTTTGTGGTAATCACTTATATATGAATCTCAAACATTTAAGAAAGAAAGTAGTACTTCTTAAGTTGCTGGATCATTTTGTGCTGCTTTCAAAGTTGAGATTACTCAAAAAACTACACCTAGAAATTCCATTTGACCCAGCTGTTCCCCTTCTAGGAATCTTCCTGAAAGAGATAAAAAAAAAAAAAAATCATTTGAGAGTGATATGTGCATGTTCATGTTTATGGTAGCACAGTTCTCGATAGCTAAATTTCAGCAGCAGCCTATATGCCCGTCATCAGGAATGGGTAACGAAGGTGTTATTTATACACAAGGGGTACTTCTGTGCCACGAAGAAAGATGAACTCGAATCATCTGTAGGGAAGTGGGTGCAGCTTGACACTATATGTTAAGTGAAATAAATCGAATGCATAAATACAAGTACCATATGATTTCTCTCATCTAAGAAACCCAGTGAAAGTGAAAAGCAAAATAAAAGGTAGATAGTAAAAGGTAGGGAGATAGAAGTAGAGAGCATGGGAAGGGAATCTTGAGATGTGGGGGGCCGGGAGCAAGTGAAGGTGGGGAAAGGGCATGGAAAAGGAGTTCAGATGGCTGTGGACCTGCACTGACCCACGCGAGCAATGGAAATGTGGACTGTGTACGTGTGCTTATGAGATCTTCCTGTTGCTATAACAAATACCCAGATAGTCAGTTTGTAGAGAGAGAAGGTTTGTTTTAGCACAGCGGCTTCAGCCAATGGGCACTCGCCCCCTTGCTTGGCAGTGTGTCAAGGCTGGAGCAAACAAGAACAAATCTGCTCACCTCATGGCTGGGAAGTGAGAGAGGGGAGAGGCCAGGGTCACAGGGCCCTTTCAGGGACTGACTTAAAGCCACCCCACCAGACTCGTCCTCCAACAACCCCCCGCCCCACTACACTGGGCACAGGGCTTTATCTCATGCACCTTCGGAGAACACTAGAGCTGCACACTGTAGCACCAGGCAGTCCCAGAGAGGGAATTGACAGCCAGAAATTAGAACAGATCCACCCACACGGGTCCTCCCTGTGGCCTCAGGGTTTTCTGTGAGAGGAATGAGGAAATGCCTTAGGCCTTAAGACGTCCTTGGATTCTTACAACCCTCTTCCCCTCCACAGCTCCCCTCAAAACATAGCATCAGACTATAGCTTGTTAATAACATGGGTCATAACTTTTTGTGGATACGTTTGGAGCCCTTTCCAGAAAGATTGTGCTCAATAGAGTATTGTTAGAAAGCAGTGTTTTAATCTTGGAAGAAAAGGGAAGCGAGGCAGGGTGTGACCTGGGACGTGCTGCTTCCTGCTCCCTTTTCTCTTCCTGTCACCTGCACCTGCCGTCCCCAAGCCATGTCTGAGCCTTTGCAGCCTGATTTTCCACAGCTCCCTGTGTTGCTTGGGTGCATAGCAGGCTGACAGAAGCCCTATGTCTGCGCGACCCCAGGGCGCTGAAGGGGTGTGGGGTGGGCACAGGAATTTAGGGGTTTGATTGCTACCCACATCTACCCACAAGGTATAGAGTTAAGCAGTAACTTGTGGCTGCATGTTCGTTTGTCACATGAATAGCTTGAAGTGACTGATATGAAGGGTTTTTAAATTTTAAAAAAGGCATATTCTGTGACTTTCATGTTGTTTGTCCTTTGATTTTGTGAGCTTAATCCATCGGAGGACTTAATAGCTGCAGGGCTCAGTGCCATTTAGTTCTTGGACTGACTCCTGCAATACAGCCCTGGTTGTATTCCCAAAATGAGTGAATTTAATGATATATGTTTAAATGCTGCTTTTCAGAAGGTAAAGTTACTTTTATATGCACATGTATGCACACACATGCACTCTTTACATTGCATTTAAATTGGTAATCTCAGCACACAGGTAAACATTAAAGAGCTACTTACTTGGAATGTCATAATCTTTTGAATTAAAGGTATGTTTCTCCCTTCTGTTTCATAGGGAATTTTGTTTGCTTCTCCTGAGTGTTTAAAAGGCCCAAATGATTTGATATACCTGTGGCTTCATGAATCTTCCCGTGTTTATGGAGACAAACTGGTAGACACAAAAGACTGTGATCTGTTTCAGAAAAAATTACGGGAAGCTGCTTATAAATATTTTGAAGTAAGTGTGTGACAGGCAGAGCTCACCGCTTGCTCTTGCCAGTTTGCGTTGGAGCTAAAATTAGAAAAGGACGTGAGCGAAATGTAGGGGGCTAAGCTCCCTGCAGTATCTGGGTTGCTGAGGTTATGGGATCTGGCCATAGGAACATTCTCCCGCCTGTTCACAGGCAGTCTTCAGGATGTTCCTTGATAAACACTGTCTTATTTTCTCATTGCCGTGACAAAATACCCAACCCCCACAAGTTAAAAGAGGAAGGGCTTATTTAGCTCACAGTCTGTAAAGGTTTCAGTCCATAATCAGCTGGCTCCAGTGCAGGGCAGCATGCCAGAGGACACCCGGAGCAGAAGCAGTCTATACCAGAGCAGGCAGAAGGCAGCCAGTGATGAGCCTCCCTTTCTCTTTTACTCCACGTGGGTTACAAGCCTATTGGTAGATGCCCCGCACAGGAAAGGTGAGCCTTCCCATTGTCCACACCTAGAATACTAAACTGATCTGTAGACTAATTTGGTTATCGCACACCCTTAATTCATGTTCACACATCCACTATCTAGCCACTCCCAAAAGCCCCCCGTATGAGCACCTGAGGTTCTGAGAGGGCATCTAGACGCCAGCCCTAGCGGACAATCTGCCTCTCTCAGGATGAATCTTTCTGAATAGTCACACGCCAGTTTCTCTTCTATGTCCGCAGGGTGTCAACAGTCATGTGCTACTTCAGCAACCCCTTGTTTACTGCCACTTTGCCAAAGGTGGGCAGGAGCCGTGTTACATGCCAGTGAAGGACTGGGAGGCACTGAAGATGATTCTTACGGAGTCACTAGACAACTACAACGAGCTCAATGCCGCCATGCACCTGGTGTTGTTTGAAGATGCCATGCAACACGTGTGAGTTGACTGGTCGGTCTTTTTTTTTTTTTAAGTAAAAATGACTCACAATCCAGTTCTTCAATAGCTTGTACTGAGACTCTCAGTTTTTAATCTATTACTTGTCATACAACACTAATGTATACATATTGCTATTATTGATGTCCAACCTTTATATCATACATAGGCACACTGCTTCCTACAACTCTGTAACATCTGATCAGAAGCTCATTTTATTTCACAGCAGCCCTGTTAGATAAGAATGCTAAGAAAGAAACAGAAATGACATGTTCCAAACCACCTAGTTTGTAAGTGGCAGAGAAAGAGCTCAAACTGAGTTTCACAGAGTGACTGCACTTTGTTGGGTGCCAAGGAGGACTGTGGCCAGTTGTTTCTGTACTTTTGGGCAAAGCAGATAAAAAAAAAAAAAGTACAAGGAATGTTTCCTTGACAGAAAATGAAAGAAAGACAGCTGCCTGGAAGATGGCATCGCTGACAAGGCTGTCGCTCTTCTTCTTGACTCAGGACCTCACATGGGGCATAGACAGTGCTGGGCCTGCACCTGCTGTAACTCTTCCAGCCACACTTCTCAGTCTTGGGGCTGCAGCTGTGAGCACCACGTCCTCGCCCTGCACTGCACAGGCTTGTGTGTTAGTGCTACAGACAGATGTTGATAAGGGAATTAACAAACCAACAAGGGAATAAGGAATGTATGGAAAGTAATGTGTCATTATTAAAAATAAAATAGAGGGGCCAGGGAGATGGCTCAGTAGAATAAGCATTTGCCTGGCAAGTGCAAGGGCCTGAGTTCAATCCCTGGTTCTGCCATAAATAAATAAATAAATAAATAAATAAATAAATAAATAAATTAGACTGAACCTATGAAGCAAGCTACGGAGTGAGTATCCTTTATCCAAAATGATTGGGACCTGAAATGGTTAGGATCTGAGATTTTTTTGTTTCAGATTTTGTAGTATTTGTGTAACAAGATGTGTTGAGGATGGTACCCAAGTCTAACCACAAAATTCATCATATGAATATTATATCTTATACTCAATGTTTGAAGGTAATTTATACAGCATTTTTAGTGTGTTTTGACTGTAGCCTGTCATCTGGGGTCAGATGTAGAATTTTCCACCAAAAGTTTTAGATTTAGAGTATTTCAGATTGTTGGATAAGAAATGCTCCGCCCAGATTCTGAGTCCTAAAGAGGGCCTGGGTGTGTGTGGCAAAGCTTGGCATTTAAACTGAGATTTAAATGATAAAATCAAAAGTTGTAAAAAATATCTGAAATAAGAACATTGAAGACAGCAGATTTCTTGTGGCGGTGAGGCAGAAATGTTTGAAAAACAGTAAAAAGGATCAAGGGGAGCTGAACCATGAGAAAAATAATGACACAAGAAATGTATGAGAGAGGCAGGAAATGCTGTTACTCTTGTAGGGCACTTCTTTCTAACCAAGACAAGGAGTTGTGGTGATCTCCAAGTGCAGCTATAAGCTGTGAGGTGGATTTTTTTTTTTTTTTTTTTTTTTTTTTTTTTTTTTTTCGGAACCGGGAATTGAACTCAGGCCCTTGTGCTTGCCAGGGAAGCGCTTATTCCACTGAGCCATCTCCCCGGCCCCTGTGAGGTGGATTTTGACCATAATGATGACATGATCTGTGGTATAGTCTAATGGCTCACCATTGCTGCTGTTGGGCAGAGAACTGATTGCATCTTTATATCCAATTCTACTCTCCCAGTCCAAGTCACCCTCCTCTCTCCTGGGCCTTTCTTTCTGTTTGTTTATTTATTTATTGTATTTTAGGACAGAATGTACAGGGTGTATAGGGTCTCACTGCGTAGATCAGGTTCCTAGTGATCCTCCTGTTTACAGCCTCCCAAGTGCTCAGATTAGCAGCATGCACCACCACGCCCAGTCTCAAGTGCCTTCTCAGTGCGACCTAGGGGTGGGGCTGGCACAGCTGGCCAAGGGATTGAACTCCTGTCCCCTGTGTCTGCCTAAACAAGAACTTTAATCTGCTGAGCTATTTGACCAGCCTTCTGGGCCTTTCAAGTGAATGGAAATGGACAAAGATTGAGAGGAAAGGAAAGAGGGGAGGAGAAGGGAGGGAAAGGAAGGGAAGAAAGAGGAGAGGAGAGAAAAAGGAAGTGAAGAAGAAAGGAGGGAATCATTAAAAAGAAGGATGTGAATCCAAACAGAAAAAAAGATGTGAAGAATTCTTTTTTAAAAATTTCTCTGTAGGGCTGGGGAGATAGCTCGGTAGTCTGAGTTCCTACAAGACAAGCGCAAGGACCCAGCTTCGATCCCCAGTATCACGTGCTGTGCTGACACAGAAACTGGGTGTGGTGGTGCATACCTGTAATCCTAATCCTAGCGCTGGGGAGGCTGAGACAGGAGGATCACTCTGAGTTTGAGCTGCATAGTGAGACCCTGTATCAAATTAATAAACAAATGAAGAAATGAATGAGTAAATGATTTAAAAAGAATTTCTCTGTAAAATGTTTAGCTCCAGTAAAATGCTGGCGCCCTCCTCAAGATCTCTTCTGCTAAGCATGCTGAGGACTGAGGGTCTTACTGCTCCTTCTGCAGTGATCCTCGGATTACACCACCAAGGGGAGTTGAAATTAGAATCCACGAGTGCGGTGTTCAGCAGGTCGTTGCCAGCACTGCTGTGGGTGGCTAGGGGCCCAGGCTCCCTGCATGTACCATGGCTTAGATGAAGTGACCCCTCTTCCTGACACTAGTGGAGTTTTCTCAAATTATTCAACATGGAATTTCCACAGCCTAACAGGTGAAACTGTTTCTTTCATCAGAGATTATGAGCTCCAGTCTGGTCTCATCAGCATTCTAGATTATTTTAAATCATGACCTAGACTTTTGTCGAAAGAAACATTGTCATTTAGCAAATCCTGTGGGGTGAAGCTGTAGGGCAGACATTAAGATAAGGTGCAGACCTTTGTCCTGTGGGGGTTCTCCTGTGTTCTCATTGGGCGAAGGCTGCGTTGTTGTGGGGTCGTATGAAATACAATTGAATGGGACAAGGAGGCTTGTAAAATAACTTGTCCTTTCAGGAACTGGGTGTTCTTTGCAAATGTTCATGTGAGCTTATCCTGATAGAAGTGACTATGACTTCATTTTTTTTCAAATGCCTCTTGATTGGTGCTCACGTCCTTCCCTCCTTTTAACTGAAACCTCTTTTAGTCAAACCCATATTTCAATAATGTTAAGGCCAATTTATTCATAATTGAAAGGTGTAGTACTGATATCAATAGCGTCAGCACTCACTGGATCTTGGATACCATAGAACAGGGAACAACTTGCCTTTGATGGAAACTTTATGAATCTGAATGTTTTCATTAAGTTACTGTTCAATTCTGTGGGCATGGGGCAGGCTTTAATGTGAAGGATGATTAAGAGGCAAGTGTGTAATTCACACGCCTGAACCTCATGAAGCTGTCTCTCGTACTGAACAAGCAAGTGTTTTCCCAAGTAATTGCACAGCATGTATCTTGGGCACAAAGATATTGACCCTTGGTGTCTTTGCACTCAGATGCTGACGTGGAGTTGGATCTTACGTCTAATAAATAATTATGACGCTTAGGCACAAGGCCTTGTATAGATTTCAAAGTATGGCGGTAAGTAATCAAACCACTGGTAGTAGCCTGAGAAAGTTTGTCAGGCAAGTAGTTCAGGAGCAAAGAAATGGGCAGCATCTTTGATAGGTAAATACACAAAGAACTAAAGTCTAATAAAAATTGGAATTAAGTTATTACATATTTGATCAAAAGAAACAGAGGCCCCGAGCATTTGGTGCTCCACATCACAGTGGGCACCTCTATTTTACCAGGTGTCGGATCAGTCGCATCCTCAGAAGCCCGCAGGGTCACGCGCTCTTAATCGGAGTCGGAGGCAGTGGCAAGCAGAGCTTGTCTCGGCTGGCAGTTCATATTTGCAGCCTGGAGGTCTTCCAGGTCACCCTGACCGAAGGCTACGGGATCCAAGACCTGAGGGTGAGTAAGCTTGCTAGACAGGGATCGTCCTTACTCAGCCTCGGAAGATCCATTGCAGGACCACGCAGATCCCCAGCGGCGCAGGTGCTCACATCCTGCACCGGAAATGGTGTCGTGTTGCATGTGATCTGTTCGTACCCTCCTGCATGCTTGCAGTCATCTGTGTTCTTTATAATGCCCAGTACAATGAAAACACCATGCAAGTAGTTCTCATACTGTTTTGTTGCAGACATAATGACAAGAAAAAAATTTATATATGTTCAATACAAATATAGGCTGAATATGTTGAATGTATGCCCCAAATATATTCAATTTGCCATTGTTTGCATCTGTGGGTGTGGTGGGTCAACTCTGTCTGCAGCCCCTGTCTGCTGGACGGAGCATAAGCTGGCCACACACCCTTGCCAACTCCTGGATTTGGCCAAGGTCTCCATGATAGGGCAGAGAAGGAAAAGGGCTCCTCAGAGGAGTTGTTTGCCAGGCTGTTTTGCCTTCACAGTCTAATTAGGCTCCATAATATAAACCTAACTCAGAAAATAGTCTATTAAATATTTGCTTCAACTTTTACTTTGTATTAACCAAAACTGATGTTCAACACTGTTAGTTGCCTGGTGTGATATGAAGAAAAAAGACCTACTTCCTTTATAATAGTATATTTCTAACTCCTTTGGATAAGAATATGAGAATGTAATACAGTAGGACTGTCGTTTTAAGGAACTGTTGTTTGCAGACATTTTTAGTTTTGATCACTGAGCTGTTTACAAAAGTAAAACAGGTTCTAGCAGGTGCTGTTTTAACTTTTTTAAAAATGCGTCATTTTATAACCAAATAAATAAACAAAACTATTTCTGGTGAAATAGACGATCAATGCAATAAGCAGAACTTGCCCTGTCCACTGTGTCACTTGACAAAAGGCATCGGTGAATTCATTTCACTCTATTAGGAGGGAGTCGTCGCGCAGCCGCAGGCTGTTCGCAGCCCTCCGCTCCATTAAGCCACAGACTGACGCGCATCATTATGTGCCAGAAGAGCAGGTGATGTCACGCTGCCCTCCCCAGAGTGGGTCACTGGGAGAAGCTGTGCGGCACACAGCTATCGCCGTGTAGTTACTGGGTCGACTCTTCCCGGCTCTTGCATGCACGCTCCGAGTGTCGCATCAGCATTTGAACAAAACATGAGTGATGGCCTCCTTTCCTTACAGGTAGATCTTGCCAATCTGTACATCAGAGCGGGAGCCAAGAACATGCCCACTGCGTTCCTGCTGACAGATGCCCACGTTCTAGATGAGAGCTTTCTCGTGCTGATTAATGACTTGCTGATGTCAGGTGATTAAACTAACACATTTCTTGAAAGATCTTCCCCAATGACAAATTATCTGTAGTTTCAGTGAACTTTAAAGGGAGATAATTTGTCTTTGAAATGTGTGCTGGGGCAGTCTTTGGGGAGAAACCTATAAACCTAACTAATTTGAGGTATATTGCTTCCTTAGCCTGCTTATGGATGGGAAGTGCCTCAGAGAGGCCTTCCAAGGAGCAAATGTTATTCCTGCTCAGATGAGCTCGGTGGATCTGTTCATCACTGCTCGTCCTCCAAGTGCTGTGTATCTTGTGAATGTAAAAGTATCAGAAAAGAATGCATTTCTCATTCCAAATTCTTAATCATTTAAGCTGAACTTTGTCTTATAAAACATTTCAAGTATTAGAAAGTCACGCCCACAGTTTAAATTGCAATTATTTTTGAGTAATTCTGCTCATTCTTTTGAGGGCAGGAGAAATCCCGGATCTGTTCAGTGAGGAAGATGTGGACAAGATAGTTTCTGGAGTTCGTAATGAAGTTCGTGGTCTGGGCATGGTGAACTCCAGGGAAAATTGTTGGAAATTCTTTCTGGCCAGGGTTCGTCTGCAGCTCAAAGTAAGAAGCACTTGACTTACCTGCATGTTATCTGATTGGAATTAGCTGTTGTTGGAATTCTGATGTGGATCTATATCAAAGTTGACATTACAGGTTTGAACTTCTGTGGCTCATTTGGAAAGGATGTGTAGGCTCTTACAGGTGCATCCCAGCATGCCTCCATGACATGTGCTGTGACGCTGGGCACTGCACAGCCTAGGCTTGAGCCTCACGTGTCCCTGTCACATGCACTGGGGGCATCATGGATAGTCGTCCTACATGACAAATGTAAATGCTGCCCTGGGACCTCAGGGGAAGCAGCCTGCTCCCTAACTGGAGTGTGTAACCTGCAGGGTTGATAACCACATGGTGAGTTTTCTGAGCAGAAACCACATTTCACAAAGGATGGGCCGTGCAAGCATATTTGGAGGAAGGTGAGATAGCACTAAGACCTGGAACATAGAGTTTTGAAGGGGAAAGCACAACTGACTGATCTAAAAGAGTAAATTCGCATGAAAGAAAGGTTTGTATATCATGCACTGAGCAGTGGGGAGAATTGAGAGTTCAGGAAGGGACAAGTGCATCAGTCCCTCAGGAAAAGGAATTTAGGGCTGATGTGCAGATGGTCTAGGTTTGAACCGTGTCCTCAAAGGCTGACCTATGCTTTAGTGTGTCATGTAGATACAGTGTGAGAGCATCAGGAATAAAGCAGAGACCTCCAAGATTAGGACAGAGGCCAGTTGCAAGTGCTGCTATAGAAAATTCAGGCTTCCTGCTATGAAAATGCCTACTATCTAAAAAGACTGCTGCTTCAGTATTTATTGCATCAGTATACCTGTTAGTGGTAGGCTCTGTGGTGCCTGCAAAGGAACGAGGTAAGAAGTGACAAGGAAGCCAAAGAGTGGTATGACCGTAAATTCACCAAAATGTACAAGTTCAAATTTCACATTCATTTGAGTCATGCTGTGCTGTGATTAGAAGGTTGAGATCTAAGGTGCAGTTGCCTGAAGGGTTTCCCGCTCATCAAAATATGACTCAAAATAAAATAAAAACTGTGAGTCAATATGCTTGTCCAGGGCTGGCCAAATAGCTCAGTGGATTAAAGCACCTACAAGCAGGCACAGGGGCTGGGGGTTCAATTCCCAGGCCTGCCATGCTGGCCCTGCCCTAAGAGCACGCTGAGACAGCGGTTGAGACTGGGTGTGGTAGCATGCACCTGTAATCCCAGCTCTTGGGAGGCTGTAAACAGGCAGATCACTATAAGTCCTATCTAGTAGTGTGACCCTAAACACCCTGTAGACCCTTCCCTGAGATACAAAAAAAAAAAAAAAAAATATATATATATATATATATATATATATATATATATGCTTGTCCATACCAATAGGAATTTCTCTTTGTTCCACCACAGTGTGTTGGAATTCGATTTTCTTTATACGATAGGAAAACAAGTACAGTAATAGAATTTGAGTTATAATCGGTAGTTCTTGGGTCTGTTTGTCAGAGTTAAAGAATCCTCATCATCTATAAAGTTGTTACAAATATACATTGTCCAGTCCTAGCAGGCCTCCTGCATCAGGAGCTCTGGGCATGGGACCCAGAAATCTAAGTTGTAAAAGGTCTTCTAGGTAATTCTGAGGCTTGCTGAGAAACACTGTTATAAATCATCATAGAACAAGCATCTTTTACATCTTTTGTACCCAAGCTTGTTTGCTTCTACAGGGTAAATTCCTAGAAAGGGAGTTGGTGGGTTAAGTAGTTGCAGTTTGTGGTAGTTCTTAAACATTCCTGTAAATGTTTTGAGGCTCTTCTTACTGACCAGTGACATGTTGACCCTGTTCCTTGAATCTGGGTGGTCTTAAGACTGCTTAAGCTCACAGCATAGGGCTGAGGAAATGCTGGCTAAATCCTGAGGCTAAGTCACAAACAATCCAGTTCTCTCGGATTGCACATCCTACTTTGAGTTTTGAATACAAGAGGCAATAAGCTGTATACATTTTCTCCATCTTTGTGTGTCTTTTAAATGTGAATGTGGTTCGTGTTTGTTTGTTTATAACATTTGATTTTTTTTTTTTTTTTTTGATAGTTCAGTGTTAATCAATGCTTTCCCTCACGGATTTGGGGTTTCATGTAACTTTAGAAAAATGTTACTTTCCAAGGATTACTTCTTCATTAGAGGCAGCTGAAACTCAATTGGGCTAAAAATGAGGGAAAAACAACCCCAACAATCACTCCTTAAAGCCTGTCAAATCAGAGATTTCAGACTGGCCAAGACCTCTAGGAATCCATCAACTTCTGCCTTTCTTTACGCCAGCTTTCAGTCGGTTGCCTTCTACCTCCCAATCACAGAAGGCTGCTGGGGAATGAGGAAAGGGAAGAGAAACAGGAAATACCCTATATTAGGAAGCCAGAGATGTTCCTTACAAGCCCAAGCAATGTCTTACTACCCTAACTATATCAATAGCTCCTAGGGAGTTGGAAGGGCTGGTCTTGGTACCTTGCCTTTACACATAAAATCGGAAGTGGATTTTGGAACTCACATATTCCTCAACTTCCCAGGCAATTACATCCTAACAAGCCCACTGCGGGTTGAGAAAGTATCATAAGTTGAAAATGCATTCTATCCACCCAGCCTTCTGTATACCATCGCCTAGGAGTGCAGCACCCTGAGGAGGGCCAGCTGTGTCCATTCAGAGTGGTGCCGCCACTTGGGGGCTGTGGCTCTCTGTCTGCCCAGCATTAGGAATGAACATTGTTGCTGGCCAGGGAAAGATCACAACCCTAAATCATTGCTTTTACCCCATCCTAGTGTTGAAAATGTATGAGGTAACCACTGCAAGTCAGGGACCATCCTTACTTTTAAGTAGCAGCATCATGACAATTTAATTGTCAGTGAGTGCATTGCAGGGCCTGCGTGTGTTTCTGACCTGTGTTCAGGCTGTACGAAAGCCGTGTTAAGAGTAAGCTCAGAGGCTTCAGGTTGTTTTTCCCCAGAAAACATGTATCTCTTCCTTCCTAGTTTTGTGCACCGCGGGTGGTAGATGCCGCATAGCCATGTTTAATGGGTCTGTCTCAGATGCTGTATTCTCTTTTTGGCATAATCTTTCTGCATTGATCTCAACATTGCACTATGTGGGTTAATAAAGTTTCTCACATATTTTAATATCAGCCTTCTCTTTCTGATCAAGTTTCTCCTCCTTTTTCTCAGGTGTCTACCTGTTTAAATAAGCACTACAATCACTTTCTCAAATTCTAAACTTCATTTTAATTGTCATGTGGAATACCTAGTTAGTGTTAGGGAGAATTTAGTCATTATGATATGAAGTGTTTGATTGTTTTTATAAAGTTCTGTTATGGCTTCTTACTTAAATATAGAAAAGCTAAGGTTATTTTGCAACTAGCTGCCTTCCTTCTTCTCTTACAGTTTCTAGTAGTTGGCTGAAACCATATAGCCTGCAGGTAAAGTTATTTGGTCTTTCCTGCTAGTCCATTTGTTAGTTTTCTTTTCTTATTGCTGTGGTCAATCTTGTGGAATAATGTTTAGTAATAGTGGTGATCTTGCTTTGATTCTAACTTTAAGGTCTCTGATTTCTCTGTTGTCTTACATTGGCTTTTGATTCAGAGTACATATTTTGTCAAGGAAATGTCTACTAAATATTTTTTCAATATCTATTGAGATAATTATGTGGTTTTTGTCCTCAGACTTATTAATAGTCATGTAATATAAATTGATACATAGCAATTTTGCATTTTGCTATTTTTACGTCTTAGAGTTTTCCTTTATGGATTTCTTTTGATTCTAGGTATGGGCAGGACTTGCCAAGACTTGAGATCTGCTTGGTAGTCATTTCTATTGCTAATTGTTTTTATTAGTCTCATTTTTCAGTAGTAACTGGGTACAAACTGGATTTTAATTTTTTAGCTGAAATATTGGGTCATTCTCAAATAACTACTACCTGATAATCTATCTCTTCCCTACTAAAATGAGTAGAGAGTTGGTTTTTGGCCTTGTTTTCACTGATAAGGAGGAGTAGCAAAACTTCCCCTGAAAAAGAAATACTACATCTGATACCTGTGGACTTTGTCCTTATTTTGATGCATGCTGAGGAAGGTTAATGGTCAGAAAGAAGCACAGCCTCTACCCCTGGAGAAGACTAATTGGGGTTGGGGGGCTTCTTCAGCCAGAAGATGGCAGCTGCTCTCTTTTCAACCCATGCATATAACACTTAACCCTTGGAACTGTAAAAAGAATTCCAAATCACCCTGTGTTAGTTTCAGATGTCATACTTCTCACCAGCATATATGATATGCTCAGAATTTTGATGAGTTCTCCAGCACTAGAGTTCCAGGCTGGGTGATGCGGGGATGTTAACTGTGTCACAAGGGTTTGGAGCACACCTGGCAGGTCACAGTGAATGATGTGTCGCTGCCACCCCATTACCCATGCTCGACACTCAGTGTCGGTTTGCATTTGGAATTCAGGACACTACGAACCTGTTGGCTTGCAGAGTGTGGCCTCAGAACCCCACAGGGCTGTGCCCATTAACAACAATCAGATGTGTGTCCTTGGATTGCCCCAATTAAGCCAGTGAGGGAATGCCAGCCACTTTATCTCCTTCCCATTTTATAAATGCATCTTTTCCTACATAATTCTCATTTTCTATGAGAGTACAACACTTACATCTTCTGCTCTGTGGACCTTAGCTCACCTAACTCATTTTCATTGGTGTTCTCTTGCCTGGCCACTGATACTGCGGGGCAAGGACATATGATTTATGGAGCAGTCTTGTTTATTTCACTATGTTATAGACATGTCTGTCTCACTATATATCTATTTAGATACTATCTACAGTAGTACCTCGGTCACAAGCTTAACTCTGATCACAATTCTAGTTGCAAACCAAATTGGACAAGAACCAAGTCCAATTTTGACCATAAAGTCAACATTGAACTTAACCATTGAATTTGATTTGGTCTTTGTCCAATTTGGTTTGTGACCAGAATTGTGGAAAAAATTAAGT